ACCAGGAAGCCCTGCACGTCCAAGCCACGGTCGCAGCTTTAATAACAGCAGGGCTCCTGCCCGCAGTGCAAAGAATCCCCGGGTAAGATAAGATAAGATACCATCAAAGACTGTACTGGCAACCTACAACACGCACATACTGAGGACTGATGCGAATTTAATAGAGTTGGAAGAAGCTGTTAGTAAGCTGTTTTGCGACACCACTCCTAAAGGCACCGTCGTCTGTAAACAGAGTTTTTGCTTGCGTCACAAAAACAGGGTGGTTGCCCCCCCCTAAGGCCGCCTCTGCTTACGTAAAAGCTTTTCTTTATGTTGAAGTTCATTAACTTTGACAGCTGAGAGAGTGAATTGCCGTGGTGACTTAAACACAGGGGTAAAACACTGTTATTGACTCGGAAAACGAAAGCTATGTTCGATATCGTATTCGTATGTTACTGTCAGGATTGGCGGAGTTAATACTTAGTGGCTAGAACTTCATTACTGTATAAGAGAGTTAATAGCTATAAAATTAAATAATAGTGTATTGCTCTGTAATAGGTATTTGAGAAGTTTTAGAAAGCGATCTCACGTTATTGACTAATGTTTATGGAGTCCGTAAAAAGTGGATATTCATCATTCTGTTGTGTATTTCAGTAAAAATAACCAAATCAAAAACTCCATTTTCAAGTTGCCGCGAAAACGTTTCTCTGGACAATTTGGCGTCTTACTAGTGTGTGACGTCACACGACTGTTATCAAAACGTCAAACGATACATTGTAATGTCACTTTATCCGGAAGTTTACTTGCGTGTGACGTCATTTTAGGCTCCGCCAATCCCAAGCGTTTTGGGTCACGTGACGTGACAATAGATTAAAACTATTATCTTTTTAGTGGGTTTTTAGTAAAATTATGATTTTTTTTGTAAAAATAGTAAAAACCCCTGCCAATATTCATTCTAAACACAGATGCTATCAATTGACACTTTATTTTTAATACTGGCAAATACTCTATTTTATGTCAAAAGAAGGTACTTAGTTTTTTTTTATTACTTGTTAATGTTATTGTTTCGTGGCGTCACTAAACCGGTTCTAACGGAAGACCAGCGCTGATGGTAACATCAGTACATGCTGTGTTGGGACCGATTTGAGACAAAAAATTATGTGTATGTTTTATTTATATTTTTTTTTACTGTTGTTTTGTCTCAAATAAATTTATTTTTCTTTCTTTCTTTCTTAGTTATCTTTCAAATTGTCTACGGATTCAAATAAATTATGCCACAAAATTTAAAAAAAAAAGTATCCATTCAATACTATGGAATAATTTAAAAACAACGTTTACCCTTAATTTTCAAAACTTTTAAAAAGTAATGCAGCGTTTGTAAATCTTTGAAAATTTATCCAAATTAAAAGAGCCGTCCAAAATGACGACCTTGAAAGGATATATTTTTGCATTTTTTAAGCATTTCACTGCTAGATGTTTAAATCTAAATGCCTTGCGGCCTAAGGCTAGAAAAAAAATCAGCACGGCCGTCAGGGCCGCGGTAGCATAATGGTCAGTGTATTCGCCCGGATAGCGAAGAGTGCGTGTTCGAGTCCCGTCTGCTGCTTGGTCCACGTGTAATTCTTTCTTGTAAAATTTTCTTTAGACCTTAATAGGAGTTCGATGGCATAGCTATTAGCACAATTGGTCTAAGAGCGTGGAATTGGATGGGTGGCCAAAAATTTGAGGGCACACCCGGTCGTTGGTCGCGGAGGCATGTACAGCCCATACTGATAAATACCAATTAGCCTAGCCCCAAAGTAAGCACTGTAAGGCTTGTGTTATGGGATGCTAGGGTAACGGATAGAATACATATACTGTACATATATAAGTATATTTATATAGAAATACATATTAAACATCCATGACTGGAGTACGCATGCTCGTATTCATCACACAAACATCTGCCCCCATCGGGATTCGAACCCGGCGTATAAACCACTCGGCCACGGAGGTCGTCAATGATTTGATAAACCGATTTTTTGCAAAAATCGTAGAGATTTTCGAAAGCGCGGATAATTACACAGTGACGATGACATCGCTCAATCTTATTGTTAGCAATAAAATAAGTGATTGAGTAAATATTAAACATTGTAACGTAAATGAAATATGTATCATAAAAATATCTAAAATATAAGTAAACTGTTTGGATAATAGTATTCGTTGCTTAATTAAATCGTAGGAAATTAGATTTATGTGAAAGCTATGAATTATTCATAAAAATACTTATGAATATGGAAATTGTAATAATGATATGTTCCTTTACCGAATACATCGACCAAAAACACTTTCTAACATCAGAATAAATTAGCTATCAATATAAACTGCGTTCATAAGTTAAAAAAACTAAGTACATACTTAAATATAGCTTTCACTAAAAATGTTCAATAATAAAAGAAATGTTTAACATTTCGAATTTGATATTAATTTATTACAATAACAAGTAGTTTCTAAACAATGTCCGGTTGCTTTCAGTCGCACGGACCTGAAAAAAAGACGGACGTAACCTCGTCTTATCTCGAGTGAAGCATGCAAATGGCCGCCCGCTTACAGCGTGTGCGTGATTTGAGGGTTGTCGGGTAAATCATCAAATTCCCTACTTTTTAAATCTCCCAAACTAAAACATTGTTAACATTATGTAATCAAATATATATTATAAAAACGGGACATTTACCACGTGTTTTACTCGTTGTGAGCTCCTGATTTTTCAGCAATTTAAACGGTTGCAATTCAGAAACATGATGTAGGTCTATCAAATTATTTTTTAGGAACAGCGAGATAGAAAAGAAAGCACTTGTTATGTAAAAAGAACTTTATAAATGTTAGTGTCTTAATATTAAGTATGAGGTTAATAACATACATTAATATACATAAATCGCGCAGATTAATGCTTAAAATAAAAATATAATAGACTAATATTGCTATTTCTTCTTTCAAATGTAAGTATTTCATTCATAGATTGAGTAGGTATTTAAATACTGACAGAGTGAGGAAAAGAGATATCATGCCAATCCTATAACGTAGAAAGAGACGCAACATGATGTACCTTTAGTCTAATAATATATTTTTTGTAAGAGCCGCAGCGCCCTGTCAAGTCATACTGAGATAAAATTTATTATGAAATTCTGTGAAACTAAGAAAACGATAATGCATATAATAATAATAATAAATAAATAAAACACAACACCAATGTGCTTATTACAAACTGAATAAGTATGTGTTATGGTATCCTGTGTTTTAAGCATATCTTGATAAATCGACACTATCATTCGGAATCAAACACCGATACGCACACATGCACAGATATTTTTTTGGAACAGTAGCGATAGGTACTCTGTCTATCTTTACATCCTATATTTATTTTCATTTGACATCGTGGTTTACCTACAATGCGAAGAAATGGCACTACCGTGCAGCCTAAGAAATACAAGAAGAAATTCGTCTCGATCATTAAGTTCTCGGTAGCATAGCAATTAGTGCATCCACCCAGACAGCAGAAAATGCAGGTTCAAGTCCTGCCTCTAATTCATTTTGTAATAATTTTGGTTATCGTAATTTAGTTTCAAAAGTTTATTTGTATAGTAGTTCTGTTAACGGGTTTCAACTGTATCTATATAAAACTCAAAGCTGACTGACTGACTGATATAGTGATCTATCAACGCACAGCCCAAACCACTGGACGGATCGGGCTGAAATTTGGCATGCAGTTAGATGTTATGACGTAGGCATCCGCTAAGAAAGGATTTTGATCAATTCTAGCCCCAAGGGGATAAAATAGGGAATGAAAGTTTGTATGAAACTTTGTCAATTTTAAACCGATCGTGCTGAGACTTTGTATGCAGGTATAAGAAGAATCATAGATGAATGTCATTATGTATAATACAACAATTCAGCTCTACACCGAAGCGAATCGAGGGCGGGCCGCTAGTTTTTAATATTTTTATACTTTTTCCGCCGTTTCAGATTCTTTACAGGCTCCGGTTTGAACGAAAACCAAACAACGTGTGCACTGCACACAGTACTGGAAGGTGATGGGTTCCTAATAGTTATCCCCTTTGCAGTATCGAATAATTAAAACCCAGTCATCTCTACGGTTTCTATTTCTAGGAAACCTATTAGAAAGAAGGCAAGACAATAATTTATATAAAATATTCTATGAATAATATGGCTTCTATTCTTTTCCTTTTGGGATACGGAACCCTAAAAATTTACGAAATCTGATCATGCCTAGTCACAAATGCAAGAAATACAAATTTCCCTACTTTTAGGGAAAATTTCCCGTAAATAAAGTAGCCACACAGTTGTATTTTTGTTTACAATTTTCATCCTTGTAAATAAAATATAATATAAAAAAATATCAAGAATCGTCAATACTTAAGCATAGTAGGTGATTCCTTGTGACTTTTTAAATTTACTCGTGTAGTTTTTAAAAGATTTCACCACACAAGACGGCATTTTTTTAAAAATAAATCGGAGCAATTGAACGTGTGACTGGCGCTGTCACGCGAGTTCAAATGGCAGCGGTTTGTCCGACCTGGTGCATTAGTGTGAGTGTAGGTAGTATACAACACACGATTTTGTCTGACCTACATGTCATTGTCATGCTTCACATGATTTGCCTTTGATAATACGTCCGTCTTTTTTTCAGGTCCGTGTTCAGTCGTTAATCTTACAATAAAAATGTTTGTCGAGTTATTGTTGACGTCGCGAAGTAATCTGGACAATGGGAAGTGAAAAAATTGGCTCTTTTCCAATTCATAATGCGGGCGAAATTATTAGGTACCTAACTACTACTACTGCATACGTCAATCTGTATTTCTGGATACATAATATTGAAAGTAGAAAAAAATGTTTACATTTGTATCTGGCGCAGTCCAAAAACATAACAAAACACACTGCTGTCAACCAAAAAAAAAACATTTACTATTTTTTAATATTCAAAAGAAGAACATTAAAAAATAGAGACTTAAATAAGTACTCACGTAAAAAAAACAGTTGGTATAAATCCTTTTTGGAATTCAAACTTTTGTCACAACACAATGTATTCTTTGATAAAAAAAACACCAACACGTTTTCGCTTTGTTTACACGCGTAGGCGGGAAAATGTGACAGCTATTTAGGCCGCCATTTTCCGGATGACCCAGTGGTGTGCGTACAATTTTGCTACTTTTTTTTATTTTGTATAACACCGCTGTCCATTTGATAACCGGTATGTGCTGTTATATATTAGTGTCGTTGATTTTGTGTTCGCGTCTGCCCGTCCGTTAGTAGCGCATGAGACTGGTTCATGTTACCGAGTTTAAATAGAAACCACAGGCGTTTATTTGAGGGCAGCTCGGTCTTGCTTGACTCACCAGCATAGGGATGAATAAGCCCGAGTGTCAGTGTCAGTAAAAGAAAATACAATTGCTTTTTGAATTTAATTATAAAAATTGGCGAAATTTCTGTGTAAAACGGAAACAGCCACAGACTAAAAAACATATATTAGACCGGCTACTCACATCTGCCGCAGAGGCAATCTAGGGTGTAAGAGTGGGGATGACCTATAATTGCCTCCTTAATTGTGATGTGTGTGGAGTTTTCTCAGGTTCGAGTGGTCTAGAGGCTACAGACGGAGAGGAGATTCCCCCTGTGGTAAGATGCCATCCGCAAGCTATGCCATCATAAAAGCAGCCGACCAGTTTAGTAAGAAAATAGATCGGTGGAAAAGTCGAGCGCGACAGATTAAAGTCAAATATACAGAGGCACACATACGTAAACTCATCAATGCCTAGTTGTGGCCAAGGCTTGTTTAGTATTTTTCTCAAATAATGCGCGGAAATTAAAACTAAGTTGTACCTGGGTAGAACTTTTATTTTTAACCGACTTCAAAGAGGAGGTTCTGTGTTCGACTCAATGACGAACAACAACACTTATTCATTTGTTTTTTTGGACTCTATAAACAGATTTCTATTTGCAAATGAGTTCGAAATTTATAAAAAAAACCTTTTATAAGTTACCTCTGCGGTTGCCATCTATTGCAGTAAATGATCGTTCGGACTTTTTGGCGGGATCGGAAAGCGTCTCTTTAGCAGTTTCGTTTTTCTTGTTAAAAATTGTGTTGTGGCGAATGTTAGTGTCTAATAATGGTGGATTATTAACCACTAAGTGTTCGGGAACATGCACAAGTGTTGGCAAGTGAAACAAAATAGCGGAAAGTGTCTTTCGACGTTCCCTCAAGAAGTCCCCCTCCCCGTGGACTTCTTGAGGGAACGTCGAAAGATATTTTTCAGTTTCCTTTCCTTCCAGTAAATCCCCACACATTTACTGAAACATAGGGAAAGGGGGATTGACTTGACTGCCACTTACTTTGACTTGATTTATTACTTTGACCACGAGTGCTATAGAATTTGTAAACATTTTAACACTTGACATTGGCTAAATGCACAAGCCGTGCAAAGCCATTTAGGAAAAAAAAATGATCGTTCCCTTTTTAAATTACACGACAGATATGAGTTTAATATGTAATTTATTTGGCCGCAAAACACTACAGATATGGATTTTTATACAAAGCATGTATGTGGTCAGTACAGTAATTTCGATTAATCCCGAAGAAGGTTGTCAAAATAATGCTCAATTTTCCAAGCATGTCTGAGAAAAGTTAATTTCATGCAGGAAAGTGCACAACTCCATAATCTGACAATTTGAGCGTGGTATAAGGAAATAATGGCAGAGGAGCTCGATGGCGCCAGTGGTTAGCGCGCTCGGCTGCAGTCGTTGAAGTTGAGCAACTTTCGCAGTGGTCGGTCATTGGATGGATGACCAAAAATTTACTATCTCGAGCTCCTCCGTGCTTCGGAAGGCACGTTAAGCCGTTGGTTCCGGCTGCATCTGCAGTCGTTAGCACCCACCAACCCGCACTGGGCCCGCGTGGTGGGTCATGGCCCAATCTCCTTAATCCATCCATAGGGAAGGCCTGTGCCCCAGCAGTGGGGACATTTATAGGCTGATGATGATAAGGAAATGGGAGATTCACAAAGTTGCAAAACAATCTTCACCTTGACATAAGTAATATCACTTGTAACCCTAAGTTACCATCTAGAGGGTTACCGACTTTTAGACTACAGTCCGAACTTTGTCCCCTATCTTTAAATAAAATTGTCCGGATTTTTTAAATTACACTGAATATGAATAATAAACGTACATACTGATTTAAATACAATACCATTGTAACTAAGTGTGTTTTTTTATTTCTATATAACTAGGTAGGCAAATGACTCTACCTCACCTGATGTAAAGTGGTGATAAAGTCCAAACGCAAAGATAGCTGGTGTAGCAGTTATAAACTGCTACACCAACCATCCTCACCTTGCCGGCCCGCAAAAATGCTTCTTCACGCCTCTCTTAAAGTACCCCAGATTGCAGGAAGGAGGGAACACGTGCGCGGGCAAAGAATTCCACTTACGAATAGTACGACAAAGAAATGAGTCACCAAATTTCTTTGTTCGTGTAGGAATTGTGGCCACAGTAAGTCGGTGGTAACGTAGGCCAGCGCGCGTGGTCCTCTGAAGAAAAGGTGATGGAGGGATAAGGGAGAATAGCTCCTCAGAACACTCGCCGTGGTATAGTCGGTAGAATGCGCTTAATGATGCCACATCACGGCGTAATTGTAGAGACTCGAGTTTCTTAGTTACCTCTTCAACGCCAATGATGCGGGCAGCGCCGCTGCAACCTATCCAAGGCATCAATGTAATCAAGGCAAGTGTGTAATGGTACCATTTTGTGACTAAAAAGTCCGGACTTTTGAAATTCCAAAATGGTAACCCCACTTGTATCATGTTTTTGTTTTCTTTGTTTATATAAGTAGGTATTTAATGTGCATATTAGCGTTAAAAAGCAGTACCAATTATTCTTGATTACGTGATAATTTTTAGTCATTCTTAGCCACTATCAACCTTACATAAATGATAACACTAGGAAGCGAAATATTTAAACAACCATTTTAAACTTCTATTTCCAAGGTTTATTCTTGTAGTTTTCACCAATGACAATTAAGTAATTTACCTCATAATGTAAATATTTCATGGATAAATCACAAATTCTGAGAACATGATAATGGTATACATTAGATATAAAAGATAATTCTACATTATAATCATCATTTATCTAAATAGGTACTTAGATATTACATAGATATGTATGTCAGGATTTGTTATTAGCATGGAGGTTAAAGATAAAGAAAACGATCGCTGTAGAAAATAGTTTCCTAGAAATATGGACAAAATAAGTGAATTTCAGCCAGCCAGTCTTTCAGCCAATTTCAGCCAGTGAAGCCAGCAGGGCCCTACCTAACGCCCTGATCAGGGCCACTAAAAACCAGACAATACTCCTGCACCGTCACCCGACACGTACTATGAGGACCGCGGTCCCCCTAGTGCCTGGGTTCCGAACCTGGGGGTATTTACCCCTCCGGGGATAAATTAGTCATACTTCGGGGGTTACAAAGAACCTAATTATTTGGTCAAATCTAAATAATACTACTAAATAGAGCATGCGCTCCTTCTTGCTAGTGAGCCCGCGGGGTGCTGAGAGTGGGCCGCGAACGGACCCACCCCGATGAAGATGCCCCAGAGTATCATCAACACCCCCCCCCCCCCTCCAGGACGGGCTCGTGGCTCTCTTAGGAGTGGGATGGAGAGCGTAGTTCTCTCCGTCCCTCTCCTACCCGCCTTGGTTCTAAGAAGGACCTTTTGAGCACCTGGTGCTCCCACCCTGGCTCTGAAAAAGGCCGTTTCCCTAATCTGATCTCCAATGTGGCTCCGTCTCCCCTGGTCCCAATAAGGACCATTTCCTTCCCCCATGCCCTGTAGGCTTCTTATACCTGCCCAAAATTAGTTCCGATTTCGGTCATGCGCTACTTAATCTTGGTCGCACTGTCAACATAGTATTATCTAGGTATCGCACAGATTATTTATTATCTGTAGATAAAAAACCCTTTTAGTCATCGTTGGATCGTTTGTACTTACTTCATAAGTTATTGTTTAAGTGAACGCGTTGTTTTAAAGTTTCCTTGTTGGAGTTAGTTTCAATTTAACATAATAAAATTATGGGGGACGTTCAGGTAAACATTACTAACTTATTCTTTTCTCATTTTCGTTATAAAACAATAATTAATATATCAAAAGTGTCTACGTATCGTTTTGTTTGAAAAAAAAAATACAATACTTTAGTATCGGAAATTGTATTGAATCATAAGGCGCGCCTTACATAGTGAAATAGATAGTGTTTTCAATCAGTACCCCTAGCACGAACCATTATCGAATTCGAATACTTTGCGAGTCCGAAATGTCATTATATTGTTTTAAACTTTCATGGTGAAAAAAAATGCACATTAAGAAGTATAGTTAACAAGACCCCATTTAAGTCAACGAAGACTGTAACGCCTATGTCTAGTCCAAAAATACCCCACTGCGGATCACCGAAAGCAGCAAACTAAAAGGAGATTGCTCAGCTTCCATACATGTTTGGCCTAAAGACCAATAATCATGAAAAATTGTTTCCTAGTTTCGAAATTATATATAAATTACTGTAGAAACGAATATAATAATATTCGTCAATAGACGGACACCCCTGAGAACTTCTATAAACCATATACACTGAACATATTAAAATAATAAAAAAAAAAATAAGTTATATAGTAAACTTGGGAAATCAAGCCAAGTACCGAAATTATGGATTAGATTCAGGTATATAGAGCATGTAGATTAACAGATAGTTGCCTGTTTTTAAAGTTAATGCATAAGAGTACTTTTAAAATCAGGTGTCATTTCCGGTTATAATAAGGTACTCTGTGACAGAAACTGTGTGATGATTGTGAATGAGCCACAGATTAGAGAGAATTTTTAAACTCTCGTTAACCGAAGAAAGCTAAGAGATTTAGGTTGTATAGCCATATATTCAGTAGCTTCATTATTTTTGTTATGTTTTAAGATAACCATACTTTAGATTTTTAGTGTATCACACCTTATAATTTTATTTATTTTTTTAATTTATAGTCGGGGAACGTAGGTCCATTGATAGATACCTTAAAGTCTAACATATATACAGATTATAATGTGTTTATGGAGGTGTTTGGCGAAAAATGTATGGCAATAGACTTTATGATGTCGCCTACCATCTATAATAATTGTCTGAGCACATTTGCATCTAGTGAAAATGATAATATAGTTGTGGATATTAAGACCACAGTGTAATAAAAAAAATGATTTATTTTATCGATCTTTAAAAAATAGATTTGTTTTTATGTTTTATAAACAACTTCGATCAGTCTTTGGCTGAATGTTACTACACCCATAGCCATTAAAAAATATTCGTATGTTTTCCAAACCGGTAAAATTAAAAGTCCTTTTTAAAGTAAATATATTATACAAAGGTGTCCGTTGAAATCTAATGACTGTAAATTAAATTATAAATTACGCCAAGAATTACCGTGTATGTCAATATTTTTTGTGCATTTAGGCCAATTTGAACAATCTCCTTTGGCGGCTATAGAGCGACTTAACTCGAGCTCAAGACGAGGATACTACTTCTGAATAATACCATAGAGTAATTGGAACAGGAATTGACGAACGCAAAATTAACAAAAGTACAAGAAAACCTTTAAACATAATAAAAACGGAGCTCAATAATAAATGTGATAAGGAAAAGTTTAATATGGGAAATCAAGAAATAAAATCAAAAAATAACAAACTATGTATACTTTCCAGTTGTAAGAGAAATAGAATTTTACCAAATATATTAAGCAACGATTATTTTAAGGGTTTCCAGGTATGCCACCATATTACCCCTAACATAGGAGTTGAGATATGAGAGAGAAGAATGTACAATCACTAACCAAAGGGTATTCGAAAAATGATTTCCTTGTCATTATGATTGGAGAATCAGATTTTACTTCTTCGAAAATTACTATTCTGCGCTTGTTGAATTTATTAGAAAGCAATTAGACATAATATTTTGTTGACATGTTACTCCGTGATCATGGCGCTTGCAACAGTACCGAAATATCGAAAACTTGCTAGAAACAAGGTATATGGTAACAATCCCGTAAATAACGTATGTTACGAAATGTCATTGTCAAATTTTCTATGAAAACTTGAACAGCAGCGCCATACCGTACGTAACGAGAACTAAAAATCGGTACATTGTCATTTCATTGTCAAATGATAATGAAATTTTGAACTCGCAAACTATCCGAATTCGATATTGGTTCGTGCTAAGGGTACTGTTCTGACTTTTTTGGTCTCTGTAATTATTGACCCTGACCTAAATTTGCATTGTACAGAAAAAAGTATCAAGTAATACAGTGATGTCGATTCTGACATGATTCTCTAAAGCTAAACTTAAAGGAGACCCGGCACTTTTCATAGAAAAAATGCTCAACTTGTATACAGTTGAATTTGGTCTCAAAATAAAGCCAAAATTATTTGCTACATAAAACTACTTCTGCCTTATTTTTAGTGAATCGTGGAAAGAAATTATTTAATGATTAATATTTTTTGATATAGAAACCCTTTTGATGACAAACCTACGTATTTGACATTAACAGCTAGCTGCTGATGACAAATATTGCCAGACTACGGTACCCAATTATGAAACACAGATAAAAAAAATTAAAAAGTATACAACTTTGGCACAAAATGCCGAGTGTCCTTTAACAACAGTGCATCCTTTTCATTCTCTATACAGAATAAAAAGGAGAGACTGATGTTAAATTTAGTTTTAAGTTTAGAGAATCACGCCAGAATCGACGCCAGTAATAACATTCGGAGTTGTAGTGGGTTAGTGATTCATGCTAAAACCAGCCTGAACACAGCTTAAACAATAAAACTAGCTTAAAGTATCACAAAATAGTCTATTTCAACACAAAAAAAAATCTAAAAGGACAAAATTTTCTTTTTTTTCTAAATGGCTTCGCATGTTTTGTGCATTTAGCCAATGTCAAGTGTTAAAATGTTTACAATACTATAACAATCGTGGTCAAAGTAATAAGTCAAGTCAAAGTAAGTGGCAGTCAAGTCAATCCCCCTTTCCCTATGTTTCAGTAAATGTGTGGGGATTTACTGGAACCTCCCCGTGGACTTCTTGAGAGAACGCCGAAAGACACTTTCTGCTATTTTGTTTCACTTGCCAACACTTGTGCATGTTCCCGAACACTTAGTGGTTAATAATCCACCATTATTAGACACTAACATCCGCCACAACACAATTTTTAACAAGAAAAACAAAACTGCTA